CCTAAGTATATAAACAGGCCTGTTGCATAATACTGCATAATGTGCTTACTCTTTTGAGGGGTTGGTTGGCTGAATGATTAGCATATGCGCGCTGTATCATAAGGCCTGTCATTGAGTCAACCGGGTGGTTTTGAATCCCCGGTTGTACGTGACAAGGAGTAGGGTCACCTGTCCAACCTTGTGGGTTTTCTCCGGGTCCTCCGGTTTCCTCCCACTACTAAAAGATCCTACGCGCAAGCGAATTATTGAAATAAAATTAAACCATGTTAGTCCCAAATGATCTAGTTTGTGTCAAGTGGACATTAAACCCCATTTCTCTCTCGCTTACTCTTTTTGAAACCCGTAAATCTTGAGTGTGAAATTCATATAGTTCACCATTTATATTTTGTTTTTCCCTTTATCTACATGTATCATGGCTCTGACTTCATATGGTTTTGCCAGCTGGAAATTTTATGCTTGTTACAGTCACTGTATGACCTTTTATTAATCTCTCAAATGTAAGAAATAAAACCCGGTTCACAGAAAAAAAAAACACAAACTGGATTCTATATTTATACTTTTTAAAAAAAGTTATCAATTTGAAATGTTTTGGCACGTAAAGTTACGTTTTGGAAAGGTCATTTTCATTTCAAGCAAGGCTGGCAAAATTCACAAAATAAGAGCCTGACTTATTAGAATCGAATTTTGCTTGTTTTTTTATTTTTTTAACTTTATTGTGGTGTGTTTCAAGATGATGGGTTGTTTCAACTTGCTGTCATCCAAATACAGTAGAAACCTTGCCGGTGTATCCACCAGGGCGCTTGTTCATTGCCAATATTTTTGTAAATAACATGGTAAGAAAACTAAAACATCTTTTAATATATATCATTTTAATATTTACTATTAAAGTTCAATAGTTTACAAATCTGTATAATACTGAAAAGAAAATCGTACAAAAAAACAACACTGAAAAGCAAATCATGTTGTACAGTGCACATACTATTAACAAGCATCACTTTCTGTGCAGTCATCGAAATGAAAAGTCTTGTTAGATACATGTAATGCTTTCATTTGAATATAAATTGTGGGCTTAAGTACCAAATAATCTTTTCAGATGTTTATTATTTCATGATGAAATGTTGTGATGAATATTTTGTAACTATCTGTAATGTTAATGTAAAGTTTGAGGAAGTATACTGTATAGTATAATTTTGTTTTTTTGACTGACAATACAGTGTAGCAGTGTATCTAGTTGATTATAAGTGAATGTGCCTCTGTTGGTTTAGTCATTTCAGAATTGGAAAGAAAAGGTGTGATAAAAGTACTGTAACAAGAAAAGCAAACAATTAAACTGTGGTAGAAATTAAACAAGAAGATTACACAATGAAGCATCCGTCTGAAGAGTATAATTAACATATGAAGCAGAAAAACCTTAAATGTGTCAAACTTTCATAACTGAATTACAAAACTTCAAGATGAAGTGAGGCTAAGCATATTACAATATGTATTACATTTGTGATGGTCCAGGAAGTTATTTATGGCTACAGAGGAAAGATTTCCAAGACAGAATAAAACATTTTCACCTTGATCATCAGCTGATGTTGGCTGTGAGCTTGCAATTTCTGGATCATACAATGATAAACCAGAGCCTTGAATATCCAAAACCATTAGATTTTTTTGTGTTATGTTATATGAATAGTGTGCAAAGCATTCAGCCTTAAGGGCACACTGGTTTGGGTTGGAAAAAATAATTGTGCCATTGTTGTTGATGTATTTTATAAATTCCCCTTCAATATAGTTTTCAATTGTTACAAATTCACCAGTATCTGTTTTCCCCAAAAAAACATTGTTATATGTAAAACTTTCTCCGAATTCTGGGGGGCAATGAACACTTAATTTTTGGGCGAGGTGCTGCGCAAGGCTGTGCATTTGCACAGATTTTCTGGTATGCACCTCAAGTGAACCAAATACAGCTGTGATGTCTGGGATTTGACAAGCCAAGGATTTCTTGATCACATATTTTGTATCAGGACTAAGCCCATCTAAAGCTTTAGCCTTATAAGCCTTACGAAACCCTCCCTGTGCAAACAGAGTCTTGCATACAGAAAATCTCATCAGACGGGGATCCAACCATTTCTGATTTTCTATTAGAAACTCCTCTAGTTGAATTGAAATAACCTCTTTGTCATTTTGAGGACGTATAAACCTCCCTAAATTAAGCATTGAAGCCAATGATAGTGATTTGGGGTAACCAGTGTGAGTGGATGCTGAAACTGAAGGAATTGTAATGCTGTGATTGTTGTCATTAGAATCACCCTGAACAAGAGGAAGACGATTTTGAATTGGAATTTCAGACTGAATACACTGATCTTCAAAAAACCTTGCGTGTAATAACTTGAAGTTTTTAATTTGAGAAATATCAGTGTATGATGGTCCCTTTCCCCTGCCATAATATCGCAAGACATTGTTTGTGCAACAGAAAAATGGCGCTTACAGGCTTCCTTTATGGAATTTAATGTCCCATCACCCTCAAATGGGACCAATGTTAAGGGCCCTATTCTCGAATATTTTTGGCATTTGCCTTCAACATTTAAGGAGAGCTGTTGCACTGTTAAATATTCATAATTTATATCCGCCCCTTTTTCTTTTTTTTTTACCCCCAGCCACATGTTTATTTCCCTGTCGTTTCTTCCCAACGGCTGCTTTAAAGGCCTCCCAGTTTTTCTTTTTGTCTGACACTTTACTATGGCAAGCCTTACCGATAAATAAAAAGAGTAATAATGTGCTTAAAAGTCAGAGATACAGTAGATGATAAGAAAATGATGACTCTGCGCTTTTGGTAAGGGGGAGGTAACTTTAAATGCCACTAGGACATAGATTAGGCTTTGTCATAGAGTCGTATATTATATTGACAATATACCCCTATGGGCTTTGTTCATACATGCACGTATATTTTTATATATCATTGTTATCTTTCATTTGTTTTTTGTTGTTTCTCTTTGTTTGATTTGTACCATGTCCCCTTGATTGAATAATAAAGTTATTATTATTAATAAGGTTCTATTTATAACTCTAGGATTTAGACTGGATAGCCCGCTCTTAATAAATAGGTCAGACTCACTTCTTCGTCTTTAACTTGCACATAAAATATATCAATAGACTAGACATTAATTATACATTTCTATGGACTTGGATATATGTATTTATACATATGCAAGTCCATAGAGCGAGAGGGAGAAATGGGGTTTAACGTCCACTCGACACAAACTAGGTCATTTCGGGACTAACATTTTAATCACAGCTCGGGAAATTGAACGGTCCAACTAATTATTGAACAGTCATGCTAATTAGACGGGACGCTTATAATTCAACACGTGTCGAGAAACTAATCACTAATTAATTAGACACTTGGTAATCAAAATTAAACAGTGAGATTGAAATTCAATAGAAGTACAAATTGAGCACTATTCGCCGAAATTCAACAATATTTATGAATAATTGGACACAGAGTAGAAATTAACGTTATTTACCCTAGATTAAACGGTACCAATGTTACAGTGTCTGTGTTCCTCTGTTATACAAACCATTAGAAAGGCCTTTTCTATGTCTCCAGTTAGAGCTACTCGAAATGATCGAAATCCTATCATGATATCCATAATCTTCTGAGTCAATGTAGGCCCGGCATGGACACCCTCATTTAGTGATGGTCCAATAGATTTTGCTGAGGCGTGGTAAACAATTCGTAATCTAGTGGTTGTTTTATCCTGCCGTATAACCGGGTGAAAGGGAATAAAATGTATTTCTTCAAAGTCTGATTGTTGAGATGAATTTTTCGGAACTATTCCCTTATCTAATTGATCCTTTATCACATTGTCGTATTCCTTGAAGATTTCTGGTGTCCGTTGAAGACGTTTAAGTAGATTATGAAGACGTTTTAGGCTAAGTTCAAAGGGTCACAAATAAACGGCACTGCAAAGGCTGTAAGTTTTATATCTGATCTATCTTCCAGTCTTACACAAAACTCAACAACGTCAACTGTTTGCAATATTTCATCTGTAGAACCAAATGTCTTCGCCCTAATAGACTGTTGTCCACATACAGGAAGGTTCATCGCTTCCTTTGCCCTTCTAGTGATGTAAGTCCTTTGACTTCCAGTGTCGAAAAGCATTCTCAGTGGTAATCCTAAGTGTGGTGAGTTTTCTTTGAAGGTATAAGCTCTGAATGTTTGTAGAAGAACTGGAGAGGAAGTTGTATTAGTTGCATGTAAACAGGTAAGTGAAGAATTACTTTCTCTAGGTTCCGATCCATTGAAAAAAGCTCTTGAATCATGTCCTTGCTGGTGAGAAGAATGATAAGCAGATTTCATTGAGGATGTATTCGGGTCCGAACGTTGCGCTCTAGTATCAGTTAATGACGGGCATATCTGACATGATGAAGACCGTTACACTTCAAACTACTCATCCTTGATGGGCAATTTCTTGCTGTGTGATATCTTCTGAGACAAATGAAACAACGGCCATATTTTCGTAAGATATCCTTTCTGGCTTCTATATTCGTTACAGTCTTGCAATCAAAACAATCAGATGATAAATGTAGTCTGTAGAGTGTTCACAAGAAATTGTGGACGATGGACAGACTGACCGACGGACAAACAGGGCGACGGCAATATACGACCACATTTCTATGTGGGCTTATAAAAAGCAATGTGCGACATGCAGGGGACGTCATCTTTGCATTGCATGTCACTTATCAAAAGGGCAACGTACTAAGTGGTTGAAATAGTATCCCATATTATCACATGCAAAAGAGATCTGACAGAAAAAAATCCAAACTCTTTATATTCTTTCTGTTCAAATCTGATGCCACATGTGGTTGCCTTCTTAACAAAACCTGCATTAGTAATAAATTTTGTCAACAAAACCTGCATTAGTAATAAATTTTGTCAGTCTCTCAAAAATTAAATATATCCACATTAAAAGATAGGATTTTGAGGAATTCATAAGAACAATGTTACTATTTACCCGTTTCTCGAACATGATGATTAAAAGTTTCTTTAAAACTGAAGTCCATGTCTTTAAAAGCCTTTTTCAAAGATGGTATCTAGAATAATTGTAAAACATTCATTAATTATACGATCTGTAACAATCATTATCTTTCTGTACATTTATTTATTCCACGTTTCAAATATTGACGTTCTCTTGTCGTCGTCATACATCTACACTCTAAAAAATGTTTTCGAAACAAATATTTTAACGTTTATTCTAATAGTAATTTTTATACATGCTTGAATTTACCTGCCACATAGGAGTATAGTCATCACCAACTACGTACTTAGCACGATCTTTAGGATCAAAAGGATAGTAATTTTTAGGACAAAACCTGCAAATCAAAACAAGTCATGATTCATAAAATCAAATTTGACAGGTAAAAAAGGGGACAACGATTCCAAACAGGATCTTTAATTCAAAACAGATAAAAGCATCTGATATGAATAGAGATTAGAATATATCGAATAATCAAATGGAGGTTTGGCGAGATTAAATAAGGCACAGATGTTACTACAGCACGTATAAATCCATGTATAAAGACCTACACTTAACAAAGAAAGATCTGCGTAAAACACACGGTCGAACAAGAAATCGCACGGTAAATTGGATTTAACACCTACGCGTCAGATAAAGCCTGCTAGTCCTTGATAAAACATCTTTGGTGCAGTTATAACACGCTTTCGAGAAAACTCACCAAACAAAGAATACACACTGTGTCGTTTTTAACCCGTTCGTTAATTAACACACCCAGTACAGAAGACGCACCGTCACAGACATTTTCACCCTTAGCGATAATTAAATCACCTTTCAGTCAATTTCTCACTCCTGTTAATTAACACACCGTATCTACAGATTTTAGCCTCTTCGTATTAGATTTGTTGTGATAATTAGAATTTTACCGATATTCGTACAAATTTACCAAAATCGGTAGATATCTATGCCCTAAACGTACATATAACACTATTACTACTTCTCAGTGTCAGTTTAATATATAAAAAACATTAAATATTGGTTGTTGTTTGATTTCTCCAACCTGGTGATGAGTTTAATATTAGAGTAACAGCTATAGGCAACACGGCCAACCCGGGTAACAAGAAAAAGAACAGAAGATCATACCCAGTGTGCCAGAGCTCCACTGTCCCGCGCTATATCCCAAGTACCAAGGTCCCCAGTCGTAATACCAACCTTGTGGGTTTTCTCCAATCCTCCGGTTTCCTCCCACTGCTAAAGACCCCTACGCGCAAGTGAATTATTGAAATAAAATTGAACCATATGTTAGTCCTGAAATGACCTAGTTTGTGTTGAGCGGAAGTTAAACCCATTTCTCTCTCTCTCTTTAGTTCTGCTCCATGTTAACGTTTAGTATGCGAAACATTTAATATCATGGATTTAGCTGTTCTAATAGTAAGGACAGGAGGACCACACTACGCGTAAAACAAAAATCTACAAGTTATCAAAAATCATTGAAAATCAATATACTTTTTCGTCTCAAGACCTTAATCTCTGTGTATCAATCTAAAGTGAATTGGAGGATAACTTTGGTCTCGAGAGCATCCACAAGATTTTTCAAAGTGATCAAGGGCCACATCTCTGGCAGTAATTATCAGAAATCATTGAAAATCACTAGGCTTTATCGTCGCATGGCCTTAAACACTGTGTATCAATTTAAAGTCAATCGGATATTAACTCTGGCAGTAATTATCAGAAATCGTTGAAAATCAATAGGATTCCTCTTCTCATGACCTTAAACACTCTGTATAAATCTTAATTAAATCAGATATTAACTTTAGCCTCTAGAGTGTCCATAAGATATTTTGAAGTGATCAACGGCCATAACTTTGGCAGTAATTATCGAATATCGTTGGAAATCAATAGGCTTCTTCGTCTCATGAACTTAAACCATGTGTAAAAATTCAAAGTCAATTGGAAACTAACGTTAGCCGCTGGAAGGTCCACAAGCAATTTCAAAGTGAGCAAGGGCCATAACTCGGCAGTAATTATCGGAAATCGTTGAAAATCAATAGGCTTCTTTGTCTCATGACCTTAAACACTGTGTATAAATTTAAAGTCAATCAGATATTAACTTTAGCCTCTAGAGCGTCCACGACAGCGTGCTGACAGTGTTTTTCAACATAAACTGATCAAAATTATGGGCATGTGAGACATATAATATATAGTGCATTTTGGCACATAATGTCGACGTGAACGGCTTTTCCTTTTTTCTTCCATTTCCTCTTTAGAATGGCTGGGCTCGAATGTTTATACGACATTACTATAGACCTATAGAAGAGTTATTTTATATTCCAATACGTTGGTGTCTGACGTTGACATATTTTGGAAGATTATATATTTATTTGAATATATATGTGCCACAAGTCCGTTGAAATAAATAAAAACACTGTCAGCAGACTCAGCACGCACAAAAACATTCAAGCACACGAAATACATGTCACTTGCAAGCTGTCAATCAAACCACGTGATGTAAACAATTAGCCATGTGGCGTGAATTGAGGCACATCGTACTGTTCAGTATGAGTGAACTTGCGCCACGACTTTGTGTACTAAACGTTAAAAAAACATAAATTCATGTTTATAATATCCTAATAAACAACCCATTTGATCAGATATGTGGTCAAAGGACCACGCGTGAACACAATACAGCAGTAAACTTATGCCAAATCTGTATACTTACTATAGAGCCCAGTGAGCGTGTTGAACCAACTGTCACTTCCGGTTTAATAATTGTGACATCTAGAGAGACCTGAAGCTAAAAACGCGATTTTTCGTACAATAAGGGGCCATAATTCAGGAAGTTACTATCCAATATGTGCGAATATCGAAAGGAACCAAGATCTTCGGGTTATAAACATTTTAAGTTTTATTAAAATCAAAAGAAATTCGAACTCAACCATCCTTAGGGTGTAACGGTGATATATTCAAACGTTTTTTTAAATCGCATAAAAATTATGACCGCTATAGGGTCCACAAGCTAAAAACGTGTTTTTTCGTACAATCAGGGGCCATAATTCAGGAAGTTACTATCCGATATGCGCGAATATCGAAAGGAACCAATATCGTTGGGTTATAAACTTACATTTCAAGTTTCATCAAAATCTGAAGAAAATTGTGACCTCTAGAGGGTTCACAACATTGATATACCATATTTTTACGCTATTCGAGTACGAGGGGCGGCCATTTTGTCTGTCAGTTTTGATTCGATTATTACGAAATTCAATCTCAACCTTCCTTAGGGTGTAACGGTGATATATTCAAACGTTTTCTTAAATCGCATAAAAATTATGACTGCTATAGGGTCCACAAGCTAATAACGCGACTTTTCATACAATCAGGGGCGATAATTCAGGAAGTTACAGTCCGATATGCACGAATATTAAAAAGAACTGAGATCTTTGAGTTATAAACTTACATTTCAAGTTTCATCAAAATTAGAAGAAAATTATGACCTCTAGAGGGTCCACAACATTGATATACCAATGCTATTTGAGTACAAGGTGCGGCCATTTTGTCTGTCAGTTTTGGGCCGATTTTTATGAAATTCGAACTCAACCATCCTTAGGGTGTAACAGTGATATATTCAAACGTTTTTTTAAATTGCATAAAAATTATGACCGATATTGGGTCTACAAGCTAAAAACATGATTTTTCGTATAATAAAGGGCCATAATTCAGAAAGTTAATAACTGATATGCGCGAATATCAAAAGGAACCAATATCTTTTGGTTATGAACTTACATTTCAAGTTTCATCAAAATCAGAAGACATTTGTGACTTTTAGAGTGTCCACAACCTTGATATACCATATTTTTACGCCATTTGAGAAGGATGGGCGGCCATTTTGTCTGTCAGTTTTGGGCCGATTTTCACGAAATTTGAACTCAACCATCCTTAGGGTGTAACGGTGATATACTAAAACGTTTTTTTAAATCGGATAACCAGCGGCTGCCAGGCAGGATACGCCCACATTTTGCAAGAGATGGATAGAGAACAAGCTAAAAACAAAAACGAGTTTCTGTACAATCAGGGGTCATAATCCAGAAAGTTATGATCTGAAATGCGCAAATATCAAAAGGGACTGAGATTTTTGAAATATAAAGATATGTTTTAAGTTCCATCAAAATTGAATAAAAATTGTGACCTCTAGAGGGTTCATAACCTTTGAATTACATACTTATATGCAATTTGCATACAAAGAGTATTCATTTGGTCGGCAGTTTCATTTCGATTTTCCCAAAATTCCAATTCAACCTTCATTATGGTGGAATAGTGATCTAAACGGTTTTTAAAATCGAAAAAAACCTTGTGACCTCTAGAGAATCCACAAGCTAACCAGCGGCTGCCAGGCAGGATACGCCCACATTTTCGAGAGATGGATAGAGAACAAGCTAAAAAGAAAGTGGTTTTTCCTACAATCAAGGGCAATAATTCAGGAAATTACAATTCAATATGCGCAAACATCGAATGGAACCGAGATCTTTGTGTTATAAACTTACAAATAAAAATTGTGACCTCTATAGTGTCCACAACCTTGATATACCATATTTTTAGGCTATTTGAGAACGAAGGGCGGCCATTTTGTCTGTCAGTTTGGGCCGATTTTCACGAAATTCGAACTCAGCCGTCCTTAGGGTGCAACGGGGATATAATAATACGTTTTTTTTTTAAATCGGATAAAAATTATGACCTCTATAGGGTCCACAAGCTAAAAACGCGATTTTTCGTACAATCAGGGGCCATAATTCAGGAAGTTACGGTCTGATATGTGCAAATATCGAAAGGAACCGAGATCTTTGGGTTATAAACTTATATTTAAAGTTTCAACAAAATCAGATAAAAACTGTGACCTCTATAGGGTCCACAACCTTGATATACCATATTTTTACGTTATTTGAGAACGAACGGCAGCCATTTTGTCTGTCAATTTTGGGCCGATTTTCATGAAAGTCGAACTCAGCCGGCCTTAGGATGCAACGGTGATATAATAATACGTTTTTTTAAATCGGATAAAAATTATGACCTCTTTAGGGTCCACAAGCTAAAAACGCGATTTTTCGTACAATCAGGGGCCATAATTCAGAAAGTGACGGTCCGATATGCGCGAATATCGGAGGAACCGAGATCTTTGGATTATCAACTTGCATTTCAAGTTTCAACAAAAAAGGGATAAAAATTGTGACCTGTATAGTGTCCACAAGCTAAAAACGCGATTTTTCGTAAAAACAGGGGCCGTAATCCATGAAGTTTCGATCCGATACATGCCAATATCGAAAGGAACTGAGATCTTTTGGAGATAAACCTATATTTCAAGTTTCG